AATTTCTTTCTATTTTTGGTAGAGACGGGGTCTCGCTCTTGCTCAGGCTGGTCTCGAACTCCTGAGCTCAAACAATCCACCCGCCTCAGCCTCCCAGAGTGCTAGGATTACAAGCGTGAGCCACCGCGCCCGGCCCATAATATTTTATACTGTGAAATATTTTAATGCCTGTAGATAGTTATTAAAAGCAAGTGAAATTTATAAATAATAATTTTTATCTCCAGGTACTTCACTAAGTTCTTTTCTTATAGTGTCTAATTCAATCTCCATATCATCAAGAATCTCTCAGTTGAGGAAGATGGTAAGGTCTGTTGTAGGATCTGTACAAGCAGAGCTGTGTCTATGAGACACCTAACCAAGTGAAGTTAGGTAACTTGGAGACACAGTTCATGGAAAAATCTGCCAATATACTCATTTGTGCCTGATATTAGAAGTAAAGTCTATTTGACTCAGAAGGAGGCTAAAGGAATCAAAATCCAGACTATTAAGTCTGCTCGTGAGAACAGTTAATTTTAGGATTTAGGAAAATCCATGATTTACTGCCATTTATGTTAACAATTATTGAGTCTTTTGTTGCTGTGTGTCTCTGCACACCTGCTTGTAAATTTGGGTACATAAGTTAGCTTATCTCATTTTACAGGCAGAAAGACACTCTACAATGATTGTAGATCCCAGTGAGAGATCCTCTCCATTTCAGTGTGTACATAGAATGACATGAAGAAAATGGTTGCAGTAAGTGACTCCCTGTAATGGGAAAGGAAGAATAAAACTGCCTCTTCACCAGGGGCTCCTTTATTAGGCTCTAAGAGGGAAAAGGATGGCAGAATTTCTCCTGTTACGAGCTGTGGTCAGGGCTCTGATGTTAGTCTCCTGTACTTGCTAGTGTCTCCCTGTGACAGCAGGATGATAGGGGACCCGCTGTCTTCAGGCATCCTGACCCTATGATTCTGACAAAACACAGAAATAGGTCATTTACATATTTTTGTCCATATTTTAGTCTGGTGGTTTTAGTTTTATTAAAGGCTTTTTCCTTAATTATGGGAATAATGTGTTGCATTATTTATCTATAGGTCCATTTCTACATAGACTTGCTATAATTATACATAATAATTGCTTAATCATTATTTACTTAAATGGACCATAGTATTACATGTTTACTGTTTAACTCTTTATTTTGAAGTAGTTTCAAACTTACAGTTTCAAATTTAGTACGAAGAACTCCCAAGTGCACTCTTCCCTGATTCGTTGTTTTTCATGACCTTTCTTTTACTCCCTCTCCTTCCATCCTCTGCCCTCTCTGCCTCCTTTCTCCCTTCTGTGTGTGCTTCCTTTCTGAACCATTGGACAGTAAGTTGCTTGCCTCTTTATTTCTAAGTACTTTGGTTTACACCTTACGAACCAGGACATTATTTTACATAACCTCAGTAAATAGTCAGACTATTTAACACAGATGCAATGCAAATATCTAATCCAGAGTTCATATAAAACTTAACCAATTGTCCCACTAATGTTAGTCTTTTATAATGATTTCTCCCAATTCAAGATCATTCATTGTGTTTAGTTATCATTTTTCTTTTTTGTTGTTATTTGTTTTTTTTGTTTGCTTTTTTTATTTATAAATTTCAGAATATTATGGGGGTATAAACATTTTGGTTATGTATATTGCCTTTGCACCCCCAAGCCAGAGCTACAAACTGTCCATCTCCCAGACGGTGCATTCTGCACCCATTAGTTGTGAATAAAACTGACCATATCCTAGGCCACAAAACAGATCTCACCAAATTTAAAAAAAACGAAATTATACCATGTATCTTCTCAGACCACAGGGGAATAAAATTAGAAAAACTAGTTATGATTTTTCTTTAGTGTTGTTTTCTAATCTGAGGCTTTTCTTTGTCTTACATATTAATATTAAAAATAAATAAAGGCCAGTTAATTTGTAGAATGTCCCTCAATTTGGGTTTATTTGATATTTTCTCATATTAAAAATAGGTCGTGCATTTTTTGCTAGGAATCCTACAGAAGTGGTGGGATGTCTTTGGTGTATCATATTGTGGGAACAGAGATAGTTCAAAGCATGTTAAACATGATCACTGACATGGTGGTATCCTTGAGGTTTTCCTAATCTAAAGTTGCTGTTTTCCCTTTGTTGTTGATAAGAACTTTGTGAGAAAGTACTTTGAAAACATGTGCATGTTCTGTTACTCATCAAACTTTGACCCATTAGTTTTGTATGATTTATGATTCTTGCCTAAATCAACTATTTCTCTTATGGTTGCAAAATTTTTATTTTCTAACCCCATCTTTCCATCAACAGTAGCATTCTACCATAAGAATCCCACTTCTCTTTTACTCATCAATTTATTTATTTATTAGTATGGACCTACAGATTCTTATTTTATTCAATGAATCATAACTCGCTACTGTCATATTGATGCTGAAATTGTTTAAGACTTGGCTAGTGAGGACCCCTCCAACCTAGCTCCCATGTCCTTTACACAGGTTCTGATGAGTTTTTTGGCACTTCCTTACCATCTGGCCTTCCAAAAGTGTTTCAGGATCATCTATCTACCTTGCCTCAGATCTGGAATCAGACATTTATCCAAGAAGCCTTGATTTATCTTAGAAGAGAATGGTATTGAGAAACTCCAAGATATGGGGGTTTGGGGGAAGTCATTGCTACAGGGGTGTTATCAGTTTTAGGCTCTTTAAGAACTTTAAGATTTAAGGTATAGGTAAAAATAATATATAGATATGTAACTATATATTAAAAATCATGAATTTATCCTGATACCTCTAATTTCAAACTAACATTTCAGGTTTCCCTTTGCATTCCGTACTTGTAGCTCCTTTCCCTGATAGCTCTTCTGCTTCTCTGTTTGTTTACTAATGTGGGGATTTTTTACTGCAAGCATTGCGGATATATATTATGTGGGCTCTATTTTGCACCTGAGCAGGCAGTATAATTTGACTGTGGAAAAGACAGAAACTAATCTGCTTTGTAACTAACATTGCTCACTCTCTCACGGGCTAAGCATGATCCTAAGTAATTTATGAACCTTATTTTACATTTTAATTTTGTAGTAATCTTCACAATAGGTATTGTCATCATTAGTTCACAGGAGAGGACACTTAGGCTTGAAAACTGCCTACATACAGATATAAGTAATAGAAGAAAAATTCCTTCCAGATCCTTAACCACCATCTACATTGTTTTCATTATGCTATTCAAATTTGTAACCCAGAATCCACTCTTCTAAGCTCCAAGTTTTTCTTCATGTGTCAAAAAAGGAATCTGAAGCCAGAATTATTAAATTTTATAACCTAACAGCTAAAATATATCAGCTTGCTTTTACCTTTGGAGCTTAACGGGATTAATAAAAAAGGACACTTCTTTTCCCTTCTTTAACCTAACAACTGATGCAGCCAAGCAAGGCAGGGTCTCCCTCTGGCATTTACATACTACTCTGAGACAGATTAAGTCCTGGGGAGATATGTTCCTGGGTAGTTATTTTCCTGCAATGAGGAGTTTCTAATATAAACCATAAGTCTGTGTGATTGGTAAGTGCACAAAAGCCCCTTAGGTCTGAACAGGTAAGATTTCGTTCTGACAACCAGGGTAGAAGCAGGTGTTACCCAGTTAGAGAAGGACCAGGTGCTCAGGTACAGAAAAAGGAAAAGTGGAATGAAGACTCCTGGCCAAGGACACTGAAGGTCAGGACTTGTCAACCGTGTGAATAGTGGAGGATGTAAAAATAAGGACAGAGGGAGGGGAAGACTCCTCAATCCATTGTACCAGTTATATCTTGCACATTGATTGGTTTAGTGGCTAAAGCACTTGCATAAGAAATAAGTTTAAGCTCAAGTAAACAATGATGTTAGCGCCACTTACAGTATTCATTTATTTCCTAGCTAGTGAAAATGTCGTGATCAATCATTTGTTCCAGTCGAAATTGTCACAAACAGGATACCTCGTATCTTCCTATCCTTCCCTTAAATTCCGAGGACATAAAGCTGCTCTGCTCAGTAAGAAAATGACAGCTTCTTCAGTTACCGGAGAAAACAAGAATTACCTAGAACTTAGTAAGGTAGGAGTTTTTCTATTCTTGTTTGGTCATTTTTAAAGTTTACCTAGTGTGTTTGCTTCTTCCTTTTTTTTTTTTTTTTTAAAAAGCATGATTTGAATACCCATGGAAAGAAGATATTCTAGTAGAAAGAATTAAGGGAAAGAATGCCTACTCAAGTATAGCCATCAGAGTGAGGGAACAGTACAGGAAAGCATAGTATAGTGACAATTTAATAACAAGTACAGTATTAGTAATTGTATTGGTTGTCTGTGCAACATGATATTTATGCTTCATTTCTATGACTGTCTTTTTGATGAATGGAACATATTATAACTTCAGGGTCAGTAGACTTAGGATAAACTTAGCTGTGTTATTCTGTTGATGTTAATCACTTCAGAGGATTTAGGTCTCTAAACAATAAACTGTCATTTGTCTTATAAATATAGGGTATTTTTCAGATGCTAGAATATTTTCACTGTGTATTTATAGATTTGTAAATTATTTTTGTATTATACTAAATTGCAATGTGCATTTGTTTCAATAAGTTTGATTGTACATAAGGTTCCATTTGTAAAAGAGAACTAAAAACTTAGTAAAGAGTTGTTTCAAGCTGATAGGTTTTAGGTTTCTTAAGAATCCCATGCCAGATGGTATTCCAGTTTGTTTTGCTTGCATCTACCAAAATTATAAAAGATGAGATATGTAATTGGGAAGGTGTTCAGGACAATCGATTTTAGAAATGCAGTTGTTGCAGCTTGTTGGAATACATTTTAGCTTACCAATTCCAATAAAACATAATTAAAATTAACTCTATCGTAGAAGAGTGGCAGAAATGTGTATTAAAATGTGTGTGTGTATGTGTGTGTGTGTCTTTAGCCAGTAGACCCTAAAATTAAGGATCCTTCGATGTAGTTATTCTAGACCTGAACGATCACAGAAATTCAATCTCACCACACAGAAAATGGCATCTTTTACATAAAAAAAGACAAAAGGTTTCACTTTTTCAGGAAGATCTCCATTCCTGGCATCTTGCTGAACCTGCCAGCCCTTTCTTTCCCAATCATCCTTAAAATCAAAAGCAAGAAATCACCACACACCTATAAATTATAATTTTTAACCTCAATTATTAAACACTACAATGCCTAGATGCCATTAGTCTTTTCCCTAAAGGACTGCAAAAGGGAGATAATTCACAGTAGTTCCTCTACCCAGAAGAGGAAATTGAGTGCTCAATTTCAAGAAACGAAGATTTATTTATTATGATTATTCCTTAAGTGTTCCATTCCTCACTTCCCTTCAAACTGCCCTCACTCCTGCACATCCACTTTTGTGGCCAGGAAAACAAGATTTTACCCACTCTTTAACTGAGTGTTATACTTTGTGTCGTGCTTGTAGAAAACAGGTTGATCTTGTACCAATCACTTCATCATACATTTCCTTGTCAGTTGCAATTAATCACTTCAGCTTGACAATTCATCCTAACATGAGCAAACGAGCTATTGTCATAACAGCAACAGCAATAAATTGAAAAGAATGTTTTATCAGATTTTTTTCTTACATCAAGACCTTTTATTTCAAAGGAAACGATTTTAGATCAATAGATAGGTTAGTCTAAGTCTGTGTGACTTGGTAAAATGTAATAGTACGTTAATGGTTGAGGTTCCTTTTAACCCCTTCTAGAATTTAACTAATTACCTTCTGCACTTTATTTTTTCACCCAGTGGCCTCATTTCCACTGATTTTTTATCTCCATTATCATTTAATTTTTGCTACATATGATTGTTTTAAAGAGTTGTATTTACTTACTGAACAAAACAGTCTATTGTCATTTTTCATAGAGAGGTAATTTACTAACCCCTAATAAAAGGTATACAAAAGAAGAAAAGGAACAAAATAGCAAAGCATTAAACACATATATCCATCCAATTCCTGATTGTAGTTAAACTTAAGGAAACAAACCAACGATTGTTAACACATCAAGTCTTTGTTATATAAAATAGTATCCTTTTGTCCCGGAGTAAGCTACATTTCATGATAAATGTGAACAGTTAGTAATATAACCAGGATGCGATAGTGAGTTTATTGCACTACCAGACAGATCAAGATCTATGTTTATTCTCAAACTAAAATGGGTGCAGGATGCTGGTAGGTCTGATTTATAGAAAAGCCCTGTACTTCAAAGGTTGGCAGTAATGTTGCCTATTTTTCTCAACTTAGAGTAATATTACAAAAATCATTTGGTACTGGTTTTTATAATCTATGTTTTAAATCTATATTTGCCTGTAAATGAATCACATGGATGCAAGATTTAGTTTTTCCTTCTAAACAGAAATTTAGTAAAATAAATTTACTTACTCTTTTTTTCCTTCCTTCTTTCCTTTTTTTGTTTATATTGCAGTTATTAAAAAAGAAAGGAACTTCTACATTTCTTCAAAGACTGGAACGAGGAGATCCAATAACCATAGCGTCACAACTCAGGGTTAGTGAAGTTTTTAGATTTCAAAAACTTAATGTATGTTTATATCAACTGTAGAGGGTTTACACAGAATTTTTTTTTTCATTTTTGACAACTTGAGTACCTTCAGAAAAAAGCACACACACGCAGAGTGAGTGAATGCCTAATCAACAATAGTCTTGGACTGAAGATAAAGATTTTTATTAAAAAACTGCTTTATATTTTCAGTCAGTGTCTTCTTTGGAGAATTAGTTGGGTTTTATTCTCTCCTTAGAAATCACTAGCGGATATTATTGGAAAACTTCAGAAGTGCACCCCACACTTCATTCACTGCATCAGGCCCAATAACTCAAAGCTGCCAGATACTTTTGATAATTTCTATGTGTCTGCTCAGCTACAATATATTGGGGTCCTGGAGATGGTGAAGATCTTCCGATATGGATACCCCGTTCGCCTTTCCTTCTCGGATTTCCTGTCAAGGTAAATTCTTCTGCTCTTAAAAATCATTGTTTCCTCTGTTGTTCAGTGTAGCATACTGATAATATTGTTGCAAGGATCTTCTGTTTTCTTTTTTGGCATTGCTTTTATTGTTTATATTCTTCTACCTGGAGTGAAAAACATACTCTGGAAAACAATGAAATACACTGACAAAGCTTATATAAAAATTATTAAACTTTACTGAAGACGATACATTAGAAACCATTTACATAACTTTTAAATGTGGCAATTTCCTTGGATTTAAAGATTTCTAAAAGTATAATGTTTACATAAACTTTATTATTTAAAAAGAAGAATGTATACATGTGATTATTTCCTCTTTTGTATATATGAACAAAATACTTTTTTAGATCAAGGACTAACAAACTACGCTCATGGGCCAAATATAGCCTACCACATGTTTTTGCAAATAAAGTTTTATTGGAACATAGCCACAAACATTGATTTACGTACAGTCTGTGAACATTTTTGCACTCCAATGGCGACAGAGATGGTATGCTATGATACAGCATATTTGTAAAACATTTATAATATTTAAAAATATTTAGAAGAGAAGTTTGTTGACCCCTATTTTAGATAAATTCAATATAAAAGCATGCTATGTACAAGACAGTGAACTAATTTCCAGGATAAATTCATGTTGTCTGGCCTCATGTTTGTATACATATTAGCCCTTCTCCCACTGTAGCCTTCTCTCATTCATTTGCAAGGAGCACCTATGCTCACCCAAAAGCAATGTCATCTTCTCAGGCTATATTTTATTCATATGTATTTTTATCTAATCAGAAACCTTAGTCGGATTTTCACCACACTTACAATATTCACTAATGAATTCATGTTAGAGAAATTAGTTGGGGGATATTAACTTAGTTTACAAATATATACTAATAAGAACTATGATCTTTAGTTTAAATACATTGCTGTTTAGATACATTTTAGCTTGATGAAGTTCCCAGTTTGGACAGGTGAATACGTATAGAAATAAAGGATATTTAGTACTATTAATTGTTAGAATGTGTACAAAGTGTTACAGAAGCACAGGAAAAAGGCAGTTTGGGATCAGAGATGGCTTTCAGGTGAAGATATTAATCCTGGTGAAAACAATGAGAATGTCAGTTTTTAGGCATTGAAAAAATAAAAAGGGATGAGCAAAAAGAAAATCAAGTCCCATGTAAGATGAAAGTTTATAATCATACTGATGTAAATAATACCAATATCATGATTATAAAATTTGTCATTTATATTTAAAAACTAATGTTACAACTATAGTATGAACATTTTATTTGATAAATCATTCATCTAAAAAGAAAGAGGTTTTAAAACTTGTTGGCTAGTTCAATGTGAGCCACTAGTTTGAAATTGTTTGGTAAACAAACAAAAAAATAAACAGGCCAACAAACTGAAGTCACTAAATTTGAAATATTAAGTTCAGAACAAAAGACATAATATTTAAACTATGGCTAATAGTCTGAGTTCAATTTTTATGAGATTTGTTTTTCTAGAAGAAAAAAATAGCATCTATCTATTGTGCATTTTGGTGAATTTCACACAGATTCAAAGAGGAAAATAAGTGACATATGTGTTCAGCTTGAGCCATCCACTTTAAAGGGACTGATAGGATATCTTCAGAGGATAGAAGACAGACGTAATCACCAGGGGATTGGATGTTTTGAAACTGTAGACTATTTCGGATAGACAAGATGTTTGTTTTTAAAACTTAAAACGTGCTTATAAGTAAGACAGTAGACACATTGGCTCTTAATTTACAAAGAATAAATGTGAAGTTAGGTATAAATTAAAGCTGAACATAATAGTTAATGCTGTGGGTCTTTCTGGATAGGAGTGATGGTGTCATGTCACTGAGAAACTGACTATTGTACATTAAGGGGCATTTGGAAGGAGAGTTCTTAACCTGTTTCTTTCTATTCCCTAGGTAGAAATCCATTTATAGTTTTCAGAGATGTTTGGCCTGTTGAGAGCATGTATTTCTTACACATTATCATTTGTGTATTAAAGGTCAGCCTTCGCACCCCTTTAAGTACAAGTGGTCATTGGGTTAAGTTTTAAACCTGCCCGTGTATAAGTTTAAAATAACAAATTCCTAAAATTTACCCTAGACTTTTAATCAGAATCAGCAGGAAGTGGGATCCAAGTACCCCCTGGTTTGTAGCTCCATATGGGATTCAATAGGAAACAGAGTTGAGAACGCCTGTCCCAGGGTTAGGGGTGAGGTAGTTATTAATATCTGCTAGTAGCAGGTGATCTCAGAGGCCTTGATAAATTGCAGTTTGGTTAACAGTAGTAACTCCCTTTCCAAGCATTGTCTGGAACAGCAGTTCTCCAACACTAGTGCACATCAGAATCCTTTGGAGGCTTGTTAAAATATAGATTCCCAGGCACCAACCCCAGAGTTCAGATTTAGTAGCTATAGGTGAGCCCTGTGCATTCGCCTTTCTTACAAGTTTCCAGGTGTTATTGAAGCTGTTACTATGCAGACAGCACTTTGAGAACCACTGGCTAGAATCTCTAGTCACTTGGGGACAATTCTTTTGTTTTCTTTCCTTTCCTTTAATCCTATATGAAATAGGATTCATTTTAATCAATGAATGATAAAAAGTTCATTTAGTGCATTTTCTTCTGTTTCTTCATTTTGTTAGTATCTTAGAATCATGACATCAAAGATGTTCTGTACTAAAGGGTCCCTCGCTGGTTCTCCAGTGTAACCTTTGGTAACTACATGAATCTTCCTATTCCACAAGTAGTTAACCAAATTGCTCTATTACCCCAGAAGAAGGTGGAGAATGTGTGTGTGTGTGTGTGTGTGTGTGTGTGTGTGTGTGTGTAATGGAAAGAGAGATCATATATCATAAGATTAGAAAATTATTTGTACCTTTGCTTTCTGTATTTTTTCAAGTTTAGTTTGATATATATACTCTATTAAAACTAATTTCTGTTAAAATAGTATATGCAATTAATATCTTTTAAAATTAAGTACAATATTTATATGGATGCATTTCTTAGTAGACTATGACTTCTTCTAAGCAGGAACCATATCTTATTCAATCACAAAGCTTGTGAATTATAGGTGTTTAATAATCATTTTCCAAATGAACCTGGCATTGGAGATTAATGCTTGTCCAATTTAAAGTAATGTTTCTGCATAAGAGACCATAGCCAGACTTTAAAAGTACAGTGGGTAAAAAAAGCTAGTGAGAATGGGAAATGATGCTTTTTGGTAAATCTTTGAATTTATTTCAACATTCCCTTATTTAAAAGGAGATGGGATTTCTTCTTATCATCTTTATCTGCAATAGCATATCAGTGGAAATGGAATTAATAATTTATTTTAGTGGAAATTTGCCACTATCTCTACTAAATTTAGGATGCCAGTCTGGAATAATATCACAAACAACATTGCTCCATAGAGAGATTATCAGTTTCTATATAGACCTTGAATAAAAAACAGTCAACATATCCTTACATCAAGAAGTAACATAACTTAACATTTCTTGAGTATTCAGACAGCTTATCAGGGCTTTGAAATGCCCCCAGACAGTGAAGCACCATTATAAAAACAAAGCCTAGAGGTTAAATTTAATAGAAAATTTTGGTTGCCATGCAAAATATTTATTTCTTTTTGTATCACCTTGTTGTAACTGTTAGAAAATAAAAACCTGTCAAAAAAAAAGACTTCACTAAATATACAAAAACAATCTGATTATCACAAAAATTTTGCACAAAAAAAATAAGAGGTACAGTTTTGCAGTTTGGAAGCAAGCAACCACTTATTTGAATAGCATTTATTGTTTCTAAAATCCGTCATGACAATAAACGTGGATAATGGACATTTCCTTGGAATTGCAGATGTATGTGAGATTATAAATTTACAGCATCATGTCCTGGCTTTAATAACTGTCCATCATTCTGAGTCTTCCTAATGGAAACTGGAGAATTGCTTTAGTTGTGAGGGTCCTATTTTGATGAAATGCAGAAGTATGCTTGTCGATACGTTTTCCTGTGTATTCCTTGTGTAATACAGCTTCAGAGTGGGATGATAAGGACTTGAGGACTTTGTCTCCCATGGCAAGAGATGTCACAAGTTTGGAGATAGGAGGAACAATGAAAGAAGCAGCAGAAATATTATGATGTGCAAACTGTGATGCTTAATTGTATTGCCTACTGCTATGGACTGAATGTGTGCCCCCAAATTCATGTTACTGTATTCAGAGACGGAGCCTATAAGAAGGTAATTAAGGTTAAGTGAGGTCATAAGAGTGTGGCGCTGATCTGATAAGAATAGTAACCTTGTAAGAAGAGGCACCCGAGACTCCGCCCCACATGCCCGTGTTAGGACACAGAGATACTACAGGCAGCCGTCTGCAAGCCCGGAGGAAGGCCCTCACTCTGAATTGGGTGGCAACTTGATCTTGGCCTTCTGAGGCTCCAGAAGTGTGAGAAATGCATTTCTGTGTTTAAGCCGCCCAGTCCAGGGTACCTTGTTACGTGACAGCCCAAGCCTACTAAAACAGCCATGTCATAAGCGTGTGCGTGTGAACTGTCAATAGACGGCAAAGCTGGACAAACTGTGCTTGGAAGTTTCTGGCACTATGTTTGTGTTATTCCATATTTTTTGTGTTAATGGGAGGAAATATAGTTTACCTGCACGTATCATATGGTTTCAAAAACTCTGAGGCTTTGTTCATATAATCTCATCATCTTTGCCACCTTTTTCCTTTACTTGCCATTCAGGATTCACTCAGGTATCGTCTCCTCTGGAAGACATTTTATAGGAACCCGGATTGGTCTGGGTGTCTTCTCTAGGTTTCAGAAAGGTCTTGTGTAACACACATATCACCCACTTACTGGATCGTATTGGAAATACCCGTGTGTGTGCTCATCTTGACAGTAGATCAGAGGTTAGAAAACTACAGCCCACAGGCCAGAGCCGGCCTGCCATCTGCTTCCCTGTGGCCTGAGAACTA